CCTTATATCCTTCTTAATTCCTTTTACGAAGTAGCCAAACTTTAACACAAGGTGCACATAAAAACCCAGTAGGAATATGTGGCTACTCTTCTACGAAGGAGCCAAACTTAATTCCTTCTACAATGATGTTTCAACTCTCAATCTGAATCGGGGCTACTCTTCACACAGTAGGAATATGTGGCCCTGTGCCCAACAGGCAACGGCCCAAACTCCAAGGTTTTGGGTTTTTGAATGTCCTTCAATTAAATAAGGGAGTAAGGGTGTTTTTGTCATTTCATGAAACGCTGATGCCGGGGGAATGTTGGAAATTTGAACGTTGGTATATTTTTATATCGAAGAGGCAACTTTCTCTCAATTTTTCCTTTGTCGCTACGCTAAATAAATAAAAAAGTTAAAAAAATAAAAGAAAAAATTTATGATATAGAAAAACTAAATGTATGAAAAAAGTTTTGATCAATTAAATTACACCTAATTCGCTACCACGTTTATTATTCAAATTGATTGGTCGGATGTATTTCGCTACAACTTTTTCAAATTTCCTCCATTCACGCCGAATGAACGAGAACGACGACGTTGAAGGCGTGATGATTGATGAGGTGCACAATCGCGGAGTGGGGTTCACGCGGTTCGCCATCATGAAGTGGGCCCGCGAGCGAAACATAATTCGTCCTTTCTCTCTCGCCTATGCTACCAAACTGATACGCGGGCCAGTTTCCGCTTTATTAGTGCTTTCATCTGGCCCCACAATTAACATTTAATTTTTAAGGATAAAATACAAAAATCTCCGTTAAAATTTCTGGCAATCATAAAATTCTCCTCTGTAATTTCACTTTAACAAACATTTCTCCTAAATTTTTAAAGAATTTAACAAAATCTCCTTTCCGTCGCCCCATTAGCGTCATTAATTGCTTCTCCCTCCCCCGCTCTCAACTTGTTCTTTGTTAGGTTGAAGTTTCGAACGATCGTGATCTCTTATTTCATTTGTTTTTTTATTGGCTTTGTTTTGTTGTAAAAGGAGAACAAGAATGAAGGCAAGAAGAAGGTTGGAGAACGGAAAAAAGATGATGGTTTGATTACCGGGGTCTTGAAGGTTGATATGCACTGTGAAGGTTGCGCCAAGAAGGTCAAACGATCTGCTAAGGGTTTCAAAGGTACATCAAAAACATTAGAATTAATCTTTCTGTTTCTCTTGTCATTGGTGTTAAAAGTAGCACCTATAGGCTGTAGCATCTTTTTACAGTTCTTTTTCAATTTCTTTCCGTTTCCTGGTTTTTTCAAATTTTTTCCTTTCTTCTTCTGGGATTTTACAAAATTGCTTTAAGATCGGGATCCATTGCTCCCATCTCTGCTGATTTACTTGCAAAATATTTTGGGAAGAAGTAGTTTTGGTTTTTCAAACAGGAGTTATTTGTTTTGATTTCCCCTTTTCTTATAAAATTGTATCTGTATTTAGATTTCATCGTTGCTTCGACTTCTTGGTGCGTATTAGACTCAACTTGGGTTTTTCAAACAGGAGTCAAAGGAGATTGTGGCAACAATAAGCTAACTGTGGTGCGAAAAATAGATCCACTGAAAATTCGAGAGCGAATAGAATAGAAGACGGAGAAGAAGGTGGAGTTCATCTCTCCCATACTCAAGAAGGAAGACAAGAAACCAAAAGGCAATAAAGAAGAGAAGAAGGAAGAATACAAGAAGAAAAATACTATAACAATTGCATAAGGGTTGAAGGTCATGAACCATAATGGTGTTGCGAGACTTGAACTGAACACATAGAGATCCTATTGGACAAGTAGGGGCGATTCTGGTATTTTAAAATATTTTAATGACTCTGACGATTTAATCAAGGGCAGTTTTGTAATTTTATTTTATTTTATTTTATTTTTTGTCTAGGTTAATGATAGAAAGGAAATTTTTGTCGAGTTCCTTAAAATTCAGGGGAGGTTTTTTTTATTAACATGAAACTACAGAAGAGGCTTTTATGATTGTCGGAAACTTTAAGAGAGGCTTTTATATTTTACCCAATTTTTAAATATAACCTTTTATTCCCGTTAAATATATAGTTGGATTGGAATCTTGGCTCTGTAGCGGTTCCAATTCCACCATCCCGCGTTAGACCCAAGAAGGATAGAGATTTGGATCCGGGCCTGGCACTTGGGTAGTCCGGCGCATCCTCATTTTGAGTGTGTTATATAAAGCAGGGGTTTCAGGGTTGGGCCTGAATTGACCTTAAACCTACTCCTATGAGATATTTGTAAAATACTTTCAATAACCTCATTCAATGGCTAGGCGCTCATTATATGTATGTGGCTAAACCTTTAATCTTGTTTACACTTTTTCTGTATTATATAATTTTGGAGAATTGGGGTGGGGCTGAGCAAAGTGCATATGATATGACATCTATTTTTCATGCCATTTCTTGGAGGCGATTCAATCTTCACAAAATTGTGTTCATACTGTTTTTATGGTTATTTTCAGCCGTGCATTGGGAATATTTATATATTTATATCTTTTTTATTCATAAGAAAGAGTTGTGAGAATGTTGTGTGCACTAAACCGATTTTGAATACTTGTAGTTAATCAACGAGTTTTAAATTCCGATGTGCCCTTTCCAGTTAACCTCTAAGACCAATTGGGATTTCTTGCCCACAACTATCTACCTACATTTTATTCGTCATGAATTACAGTCACACATCTCTATTATGAATTGTGAGATTTATAGTTTCAATCCATCCGGTTTCAGATGAAAGTGCATCTCATACCAAGTCTTAAACCTTGCATGTCCACCCCAATTCTAAGATGGGACTCTCACAATGTAATCTTGAGGGTGTAATCATGAGAGTAATAATAATGCATACATCCCAAACGCAAGGAGATGTTTTCAATGCATAACTGCAAGTGTTGTGAGGATGGTGTATACACAATGATGTAACCAATGTTTAGAGAACCAGATTGAACATAAAACTGGAAAGGAGAGAAGCACATGGATCATAGATTCAGTTGTGGTCAAACTGGATGTCAAACTGTGATGGCATGGTACAAACATACATGTACCATGACACACATAAATACTATAAATAATATAGTATACAGATAATGTTATACTTGAGTATGGTGGATAGATGATCAGTTTCTTACATTAAAGTAATTGACCAGGTATCAAACCTTCTAACTCACATTTTCTTTGAAATGCATATACATTAATCCAAAACGTGTATTAAAAATTCATAATTGACCACAAATAATGAAATGGATTAATGGGAAAGATAATTTTTCTGATTAAAACCAGCTAATCAGCCGGTTTTGGATAGTTTTCTACCTATTCTGATTTCTAGGGTATGAGTTTCCTAAATCATACCCTAGGGTATGGGTGCAAGTAGTAGATCCCAATTGTCACAACTAAATCCAATACATTGGCCGGGTTTCATGACCTGTAAATGTTAAATGTTTTATATTTAATATACTCCTCAACTCGTCGATTGTTGATCATCCAATAACTGTGGTGTTCATTGGTGTCATTCAGAAAATGGCACAAGATCGATCAAACCTGTAAAATTATAAGTTTTCATGGTATGGTCAAAGAATCTTATGTATGCCCATTAATAAGGCACGAGATCAAACCTACATAACTGCAACCTAACCTATTCATTGTATGGCTAGGGCTGCAACTTGGCCAAGCCATTCCACCACATTGCTAGTGGGCCCTCACATGCAAGTAGGGATTTGATTCAAATCCCACTCTCACCCACCCTTGATTCCCATGTAATGTGTAATGTATATAAAAAATGGTACATTATTTTTACGTCCCATTTGTTTTATGGAATTTTAGATGGAGAAAAGTTGGTCAATGAAAAGATACTTATGTTTGTTTTTGGGATCCATTTGGAGTTTATAGGAATTCATTTTTTGTAGATAAGTGCTATCCATTTTTTAGATGAATAAATAACTTTTTCATCGGTATATAAAAATTACAATATATGGATTGAACAAAATTGCTCATTTTAATAATAGTTTTCTATAGCTAAAATAGATAAATGCACTTTCCCTTCTCAACAACTTTCTATAAAATGGATAGGGCTTTAGTCTCAGCAATACAGGGTTGAGTGGGTTAAACAATCACTCTAAAAATAAATCAAGAGCGATGTAAAAATTTACACTGATTTAATTTTATTAACTTTTGAAAAAAATATAAATAAAAATTGATATAAAACTCCACTCCAGTTTAGAATTATTAACGTTTGGATGAAATTGACGTGAAACCAAGGCATGTATAAGCAGTATAAAGTAAAGATATTCAATGCGGACCCAAAATAATTACTACAGGCTGTGAATAAACAGTATATGCACTGATGCACGGCGGACGAGTTTATTGTATCTATAATGAATGTTGGTTTATATATAGTTAATAGCGACTATTTTGAACTCTTACTAGTTACTAGCATTTATCTGTAATGAAATCATCATACGGTGATATTTCATATTTGTTGATGGATCATATTCGCAGTTTATAAGGCATAAAAAGGCTACCAACGGTCCAAAAAATTTTAAATACTGAAAAGCCGCAAAAAGTGATCATTTATCAACGGTGATATTTGTTCATAGACCATATTCAGAGTCTATGAGACCGAAAAGGGAACCAACAACAACGGTCGAGAAAATTGAACCGTTGAATCAGGTAAAGAGCCCCAACCGGCCAACCCTCAAAAGTCAAAATCCCCTGACCGTTTTGTGAAACTTTTACGAAAAGAGGGCAGGGGTATTCTCGGGATCCAAAATTGAACGTTCAAGGAACCAAACCAATCCAAACGGATACAGAAAGACGACAGCACACTCAGTCGCATACGCATACGCATACGCTGCGACGGTGCGACCACACCGCCTTGGAAAACGATAGCCGGATAGCGTTTTGGCTTTGATTTAAATTCAAAAACAATCGAGTGTAATGCCACGTGGCAAACGGCTCCTCCCGTTACCCTACCCCTATTTACAACCCGAAATTCTGGCTTTTCTCACTCTTTCGACTCGAGTCCATCGTTCGTAAGGAAAAAAAACTAAAAACGGAAACGAAAAGAAGCAAGCTCTGCTTCATCTTGTCCGAAAATTCTGCAGCTCGAAAGAAAAACCCTAAAGTGCACTTGAAGCTCTGGAGCTTTTTCTCTGTAAGGGTTAGGGTTTTCTGCCGGAGAGCGGCGGTTTTTGAGAGTTTCTGCTTGAAGGTTCAGATTGAGAGAGTTGGTAATAGCAAGTTTCTGTTTTGAATGACTAAAGAGGGTTTAGGAAGAGGTTTTGAAAATGGCGTGCTAAGGTTGGACTGGAGGGTCTCATTGTGTGTGTCTTTCCATGAACGCATCAGACTGCTGGGGAACATCTCATAATCTATTTTGAAAGTTTCAGACGTACAACGGCCTTATCAGAAACTTTAAAGGATCAGAACCGATCTTCCATTTAGAACCCTAGTCTTTAGCGATGTCTGGTCGGATGTGATCTTTACTGGCTTTCCGATAGAGATTTCAGGTAAATCAGCTGACTGAAATGATTTTCCTCTTAACTGAATTATCTACTTGCTTTTTTAATGTAATTTTTAAGCCCTTGTTCTTGCATGTTTTGTCGGAACTCTCATAGTAGATTCACTTGAATCTAATGATTTTGAACTACCATTTTCTGTGGTTTTTGTTAGATTTCCGGTTCTTTTGGCTCAATGCGAGCTTTACCTTGTGTCTTGATTCGAGCAGATATTGCTTTTGCTTTTCATTTGAAGAAAACATTTTTAGATATTTAGACTCAAAAATGCTCATCGCAAAGATTCAAAAGCGGTTTTTTTATAGGATGATTATGATTGATAAGGCGAGATCTTGGCTTCTGTAGAGGATTTCTAAACTAAAATTGAGCCTTTTTCTCTGGTTTATTCAATGAAAGGGTTGCTTACAGAGTTTGCATTGTTGTTTCTTTTCAGAAGTTTCAAGATCTGGTAGACAAGTCTCAGCAATTTCGATATGGCGTCGAAATCATTCAAGGCAAGCAGATCAAATCTATCGGTATCATCTGACGTTCCTGACTCACAGCAAAGCAAGCCTCCACTTCCTCCGAGTGTGACCTTTAGCAGGAGGACTTCTTCAGGTCGCTATGTAAGCTACTCAAGGGATGATCTCGACAATGAACTTGGCAATGGTGAATATATGAACTACACGGTGCACATGCCACCGACGCCCGATAACCAGCCCATGGAGGTCTCCATGGATCCATCTATCTCACAGAAGGTTGAAGAGCAATATGTGTCAAATTCTCTCTTCACTGGTGGATTCAATAGCGTAACTCGCGCTCATCTCATGGACAAAGTGATAGATTCTGAAGCAAGCCATCCACAGATGGCAGGTGCCAAGGGTTCTTCCTGTGCGATACCTGGATGTGATGGAAAAGTAATGAGTGATGAGCGTGGGGTAGACATCCTTCCTTGTGAGTGTGATTTCAAAATCTGTAGAGATTGCTATTTAGATGCTGTTAAGACAGGTGACGGAATTTGCCCAGGTTGTAAGGATCCCTACAAGGAAACCAATCAGGAGGACATGGCCCTGGATAATGGGCGTCCACTTCCACAGCTGCCACCACCAGCTGGGATGTCAAGGATGGAGAGGAGGTTGTCTTTGATGAAATCAACGAAGTCAATGTTGATGAGGAGCCAGACAGGGGACTTTGATCACAATAGGTGGCTGTTTGAAACCAAGGGAACCTATGGATATGGGAATGCTATCTGGCCACAGGATGGTGGAGGTTTTGAAAATGGGAAAGATAATGACATTACTCAGCCTTCGGAACTGGTTAACAAACCATGGAAGCCTCTTACTCGTAAAGTGAAAATTCCTACTGCCATTATTAGTCCATATAGGTATAATAACTTTTCCAGATAATTGACTATTATTGCTTTTTTTTTTTTTTACTTCCTCTATTACTGATTCTCTTTTCATTAATTTTCCTGTCTTTTAAATGGTGATTTACATGAGAGAGAGAGAGAATCTTTAGATGTGCAAAGGAGAAAATCTTTAGATGTGTCATCATGGGCATCCAAGGAAAACAGAGTTTTATTGATGCCACTTTATCCTTTGGTTAAAAAAAAATTCTTGCTTGCCTGTTGGAAAGTGCTTTATTTTGGATTTAAATACTTCCTGTTGTTTGGTTTGTAGATTAGTCCTGCTTGCACTGTCCAGATTCACCAAACCTACTTATGAACTATAATAATTGTTTCACCCTGATTTAATTCTTAATTTGGTATGAATAAATTGACAAACTGGGGTGAATCAGGCATTATAACCTAGAATATGATTAGTGAAATTGACTAATAATACCAAGTTCATGATGATAAATTGGCATAAATAAATCAATGTCATTGTTTGAATAAATCAACGCTGAAATGAATCTTTGTACTTACATTTCTTTTCTGGTAATCAATCTTGTACTCGCATTCACAAGTCCTGAGTCAGAGTGAAACAAATTAGAACTATGGGAAATTAGAGCTTTTATTTTTGTCAGATGGTCTATGCAATCTGGATCCTAGCAAATTCCTCAGTGTTACACATGGATAAAAGCAATGATAGAAATATTTTGAGTTTCAAATATGCACCAATTATCTCGCATATGAATGAAAACATGGTTCAGAATTTGGATTTTTGGGTTTAGCATGTTTTGCGACCAGATTGGTGACCACCTTGGACACCTGTTTTTGTTAGTTCCTATAATATTTTTGAAAAGATTTTTTCTTTTGTTGGCCCAAAGATTGTATTAGATATGATTGTTTTTGTTTGGTTTGATGTGCATATGTTGATCCTGATGTTATTTGGTTGACACCATAGGACAAGTACGGTATCTGGATGCTGCATTGTATTGATTACAATCTTTATGGCCATGTTTCTTCAGGGAACTAATTAATCCATAAATAAAAACGATCATTTAGCCTGATAAGTTTCTAATCATTCATGCCCACTTAGACCAAAATACACAGTTTGGATTGGCTCCCCATTGAGCACACCCCACAGTACATCCCAACCATGCATTGGGGTGTGCTCTGGAGTGCGTGCTCTGTAGGGAACCCCATCTACTCTCAAATACAAACATGGAAGTGTAGTTTTCTATTAGTCTTGTTTATCATGCTGATACATTTTTCACTGATTTCTCAGGCTCCTAATCTTTATTAGGATGGCTGCCCTTGGCCTATTTCTGGCATGGAGGGTTAGCCACCCAAACAATGATGCAATGTGGCTATGGGGCATGTCTGTGGTCTGTGAGATTTGGTTTGCCTTTTCCTGGCTGCTTGATCAGCTCCCCAAGTTTTGCCCTGTCAATCGTTCTACCGACCTTGCAGTACTGAGAGAAAAGTTTGAAATGCCTAGCCCTAACAACCCTACTGGAAAATCTGATCTTCCAGGAATAGATGTCTTTGTCTCTACTGCTGATCCAGAGAAAGAACCACCTCTTGTCACTGCAAATACCATTCTTTCTATCCTTGCCGCAGATTACCCTGTTGAAAAGCTAGCTTGCTATGTGTCCGATGATGGAGGTGCCCTTCTAACATTTGAGGCCATGGCTGAAGCTGCAAGTTTTGCCAACTTGTGGGTTCCATTCTGCCGGAAACATGCTATTGAACCCAGGAACCCAGAGACTTATTTCAATCTGAAGAGAGATCCTTACAAGAACAAGGTACGCCCAGATTTTGTGAAGGATTACAGACGGGTAAAGCGTGAGTATGATGAGTTCAAGGTCCGAATCAATGCCCTGCCAGATTCTATCAGGCGCCGTTCTGATGCTTATAATGCTCGAGAGGAGATCAAGGCCATGAAGATCCAGAGACAGAATGCAGGTGATGAACCTGTAGAAAGTGTAAAGGTTCCAAAAGCTACTTGGATGGCTGATGGAACACACTGGCCTGGCACTTGGTTGCTTCATGCATCTGAGCACTCCAGGGGTGATCATGCTGGAATCATACAGGTAATCATTTTTAACAAGACTATCTTTATGATTCTGCTTAGAGAAGCACGATTGATCAGATAGCCAGGGTTTTCTGAATATAATTATTTGGACTTGGTTTGACCTTGTTCCTTTTCTTTTCTTCTTTTGTGGAGAAAAAATGGGGTATAAGTTGAATGGAAAACGTTGACCTACTTATTTGGACTACAACTGCAGGTGATGTTGAAGCCTCCCAGTGATGAACCACTACATGGCACTGCTGCTGATGATACTAAGGTCGTTGACTTTACTGATGTTGATATCCGTCTACCCTTGTTGGTCTATGTTTCCCGTGAGAAACGTCCTGGTTATGATCACAACAAGAAGGCTGGGGCCATGAATGCCCTTGTTCGAGCCTCTGCCATAATGTCTAATGGCCCCTTTATTCTCAATCTTGACTGTGATCACTACATATACAACTCCCAGGCAATGAGGGAAGGCATGTGCTTCATGATGGACCGTGGCGGTGACCGCATCTGTTATGTGCAGTTTCCCCAGAGATTTGAGGGCATTGACCCTTCAGACCGCTATGCCAACCACAACACAGTCTTCTTTGATGTCAATATGCGAGCCCTTGATGGCCTTCAAGGTCCTGTCTATGTTGGAACTGGATGCCTTTTTCGCAGAATAGCACTCTATGGTTTTGATCCCCCACGAGTGAAAGAACACCACCAACCTGGCTGCTGCAGTTGCTGTTTTACCCGTAGCAAGCGGTCAGTTTCCTATGCGTCTGAAGAACACTGGGCCCTTCGGATGGGAGGGTCTGAGGATGAAGACATGAACCTTGCCTTGTTCCCTAAGAAGTTTGGCAACTCGACTTTACTTGTCGATTCAATCCCTGTTGCAGAGTTCCAGGGTCGCCCACTTGCTGATCATCCAGCAGTGAAGAATGGACGTCCAGCTGGTGCTCTCACTATTCCTCGTGACCTGCTCGATGCATCAACAGTGGCAGAGGCTATCAGTGTAATTTCCTGCTGGTATGAGGATAAAACTGAGTGGGGCCAGCGTGTTGGGTGGATTTATGGGTCTGTTACAGAAGATGTGGTAACAGGGTATAGGATGCACAACAGAGGATGGAGATCCGTTTACTGTGTAACCAAGCGTGATGCCTTCCGTGGGACTGCTCCTATAAATCTTACTGACAGACTCCATCAGGTGCTTCGATGGGCCACTGGCTCTGTTGAGATATTTTTCTCTCGCAACAATGCCCTCTTAGCCAGCCCAAGGATGAAGTTTTTGCAGAGGATTGCATACCTTAACGTTGGAATTTATCCCTTTACCTCCATCTTCCTCATTGTGTACTGCTTCCTTCCAGCACTATCCCTCTTCTCTGGCCAGTTCATTGTCCAGACTCTTAATGTTACCTTCCTTGTCTATCTCCTGACCATCACTGTGACCCTCTGCATGCTCGCCATTCTTGAAATCAGGTGGTCAGGCATTGAGCTGGAAGAGTGGTGGCGGAATGAGCAGTTCTGGTTGATTGGAGGCACTAGTGCCCACCTTGCTGCGGTTCTTCAGGGGCTACTGAAAGTAGTTGCTGGGATAGAGATCTCCTTCACCTTAACATCAAAGTCAGCTGGGGATGATGTGGATGATGAATTTGCGGACTTGTACATTGTCAAATGGACATCCCTGATGATACCGCCTATCACAATCATGATAATCAATCTGATTGCAATTGCAGTTGGAGTGAGCCGAACCATATACAGTGTTATACCACAGTGGAGTCGTCTTATTGGTGGAGTATTCTTCAGTTTCTGGGTCCTAGCACATCTCTACCCATTTGCTAAAGGATTGATGGGAAGAAGAGGGCGGACACCCACAATTGTCTTTGTCTGGTCAGGCCTCATTGCAATCACCATCTCCCTCCTCTGGGTGGCAATCAATCCTCCGTCCGGTAGTTATGAGATTGGAGGGTCGTTCCAATTCCCATGATGGATTATTATTTTTCAAGGTAAAATCCTGTTTTTAATATTTCATTAAATTCTTTTCCCTGGATGTAATGCCTCCTGCGCGCCTTCACATGTGCTCTTTTCGGTGTATCGTTTTCAGCGGCGGTAGAAAAGGGAGCACAGATTTTGTTGTTGGCTTTTTTCCCCTTTCTCTCTCACATGTATCCAAACTCTTCTTTTTGGTGCAAATTGAGTGGGAATTTCAATTATACATAGTGTTATTTACATGCATTTTGTTTATAATTCTTGATAACCGGAAGGTTAACTGAAGCCGACTGATTGGCCTTTTTTTGGGCACTGAAGTGGTCAAATTCTATAGAAACTAGTTCGTGGAGTTATAACATTAGTAATACCACAATTTTGCAGCTCGTCATCGTTTCGTGGAGTATAACATTAGTAATACCACAATTTTGCAGCTCGTCATCGTTATGGCATCTGATGCCTCTTATTCTCAATTTCAAAATAGATTTTGTCGCTAGAGAGATCAAATTTGAATTACTCGGTTATTTGTAATTCAATTCTCTTGATTGATGGAGAGGAATGTGTGTGGAAAGTTGATGATAATTGAGATAGACCGGAGCCACTTCACCGCTCATGTTTGGCTGCGTTTCGATTGATCTGGAACCGGGTTGCAGAATTGGGTGGCGAAAGTGAATTCTCACGTTGGGTTTTTTGCTTTCTACTACTTTTCAGCCAGTGTCCAGAACTTGGTAGGAAGACCTGTCTTGGTTTGGGTCTCCATGGATTGCCACTTCACCATTTTCAAAGAATCAGGACAACACTTTGTTGAATAGGTACTGTGAACATAGGTGGCAAGTAATGGACACCAAATCCATATATAGGTCTGGTATCTCTAGACTCAGCTAGCTTCACACCACCAAGTCATGCTGTGCGCCTTTGGATCCCCAATAGTCCGGTCCAAGTCATTCTGCCCCAGCCTGTTCAAGATGGCTCAAAATGTCTTCAGGTGGATCAGAGCTCTACTTCTGAATGGTCAATTTCTGAAATGTTCCCAATTCGTGTTTTAGCTGCAAGGTTTCAAGTATATTTTGGTTTGAGTAACAATTTAGTTCCCAAACTTTAAAATGTGATAATTCAGTACCTGCCGTTAATCAATTAGTTAATAATCAGACATTAAGTGACATTTGAAAAGTCAAAAATGCCCTAAGAATGTCATCTAGTTCTCTTTGTCAACCTTCTAAACATTGACAATAAAATAAACAGTTCCAAATTCTAGATTCTTCTAAACAGTCACCAACTTTTTTGAATAGAAAAAGCTAGGATTTGTGACTGTTCAGTTTTTTGTCAACGTTTTGGATGGTTGATAAAGAGAATTAGATAACATTTGAAGGGCACTTTTGACTTTTCAAATGTTACTTAATGGACTGGTTAACGGCAGGTACTGGATTGTCACATTTTGAAAATTCGAATACTGAATTCTTAGATTCTGAAAATCCGGATACTGAATTATCACATTTTAAATTTGAAGATCAAATTGTTAATATTTCGCATATCAATGACCTACTGATACAATATGTATCGGTTAATATGGGCTAATACATAACACAATTTTGATCCTTAACTGTGCAATGATCTGTTTTTTTATTTAATTTATTATTATTTTTATTTGTATATATCTCTTGAGAAGTTCGGATTCGTCCTACTCCAGTTATTTAGGTGCTGTTGCTGATTGCTCAGATCAAGTGTTTATATTTTATAAGATCTAATACACAAATAGGACACAGCTTACCATACTGATTTTTGGGCGGGTTAGATCACGATTAGGCCCAACTTATATAAGCCCTGCTAAGTTTAGAGGGTCCAGCCCATGTTCAAATAGGACACAGCCACGTGCTTTCATCCTCAAAGCCAAGAAAATAAAGTTGCACGTAAAAACTCTACCCTAATGAGGGTGGAGCCCGGGTTGCCTGAGTTGAATTTCAGTGCCTGTTTGGGATGGCTTTCATGTAACAGCTTCTGGCTCTGCAATCTGGGCACCATATAGAAACCCTAGAAGCTATGTTTGGTGGAAAATTTAGAAAGCCCAAATACACTTCCATTGAGTCAAGAAAATGACTCTGGTGAAGCTATGTTTAGTAGCTTCTTCAAAAGTGGTTCAGTGTAAGTAGCTCAATCAAAACTGAAGCCTTCACAAATGGGCCTTTTCAATTGCATCTGGCTTCAGCCCATTTAAAATTTGACAAAAGTTCATCCAACCCGGCCCAAGTTGAACTTTCCCTCCTCAGTCCTCCCTATTAATATCTTTGATAAAAAGCCAATTTTTTGTAAACAATTTGCTTATGACGAGATAGAAATAATGTCTGAAGATGACTTAATAGGTTAGTCATGAATTGTTTCACTCTCTCTTGAAGATGACCTCACAACTTGTTCTATTCTTTTTATCCTTGCAAATAGCTATCCATGCAAATTGATTGTTGTTTTCTTTGTTTTCAATTTAATTATGATGTTACAAAAATAGCATGACATTTGGATTTTATTTTCTCTTGATATGAAGAGAGATCATTGGCATTTCCAAACCTTTTCTGAACCCTAGTTCGCTATGATTATTCTTTTCTCTTATGCTCAAAAACACTTCCTTCTTACACCCTATTTGTTTTTACTTATTTGGATAGGTATGTTTACCCAAGTAAAACTTGCTCGGGTATGTTTTCTTATCCGGATAAGTATGTTTACTTATTCCAGAGTCACTGTTGTCGCTCTCATTGTTATTAGGAGTACTGCTGGGAGCACTCCAGTCGGAAAGTTCATAAGCTTTATGACTAGAATTCAAGGCCGACATGTCGAGGACAAAAGTTCTTTATTTGAAGTTGTTCATGAAAGGAATTTTAAAGAACTAGTTGTGGAAAGCCGAGGTGTCCTCAATAGCTCCAAGACTACCAAGACTAAAGGTTTCAAGCAAATGGTGAAGTCTTACTCAACCAGCCTCCCTATTTAAAGGAAAATGTACGGCCCCGATTCAATTGATCCAACGGCTGTGGACCGGCTGCCCTGGCAACCCGAACCTATGGGCTCCACGTGGCACCGACCTCAGGAGACAAAACGACACAAAGAGATGTGGCTAGTTCGCCCGTTGACTCCAACTAAAAGAACTTGCCAAATCGAAAGCACCCTCCATACCGTCTTGTGCACGGCCTCAATCAGTCAACCCCAACGCCTGTCCTGTGTATGGACCTATAATGGATGACGTTAGTGCTCATATGGGGCACGAGTAATGCACGCGGATAGCCTACGCCCGTATGGGCCACGATCACACACCCTTGTCTTGGAATGATCCGTTATTGGCATGAAGGACAAATGAAGGAGGAGTCACTGCACAAACGTTGAGAAGAGCTCCCCGGCCGAGGGCATCGCCTTGACGTGACTTCACAATACTCTCTTTGGCCGAAGCCGAGGCCTCCACACAACTCACCAATCGGCCTTGACCTCTATGGCCTCTAGAGCAGGGGGAAAGTGATGTAGGAATATTTGGCCGACCTGTGGATTTTGACACATGGCATCAATTGGATGCATCTTGGCCATCCATCATCAATTACATCAACCATTCCCAACCGCTCTTCTTCTAAGGCAACTTCAGTTATAAAAGGAGCTTCCACATTGAGGTAAACATACATAGACTTAAACTCTAAATTTTCTCACTTGCTTGGTTGGACCCTCACAACCCTCAACTAACTTGACCATCGGAGTTTTTGCTCCTGAAATAACTCCCACGGCCCCAACGTCTTCTTTATTACAACAGGTTGGACCCGTCAGCCTCGGACACCAGAAATATAATTGTTGCCCTCGTATCCATATTTGGCATCAACAAAACTCATATTTTTTTCCTTCTTTTCTCATTAGTACCAATATCAACAAGGAAGTTGATATTCTTGATATCCTTTTGAATATATGATTATTTAAGTTGCAGCTTGGTTGATATAATATCGACCTTTAGGTCATCCATCATCCATCTACCTTCAATTCATTTAAAGCAACTACTCTAGCAAAACGGGATTTCTGCAATTTTAGATAAGCCACAAATATTATATTAAAAAGTGCTTCAGCCAAATGGGATTTTTTTTTTCTATATTCTTAAAAAAGTGGTTTTCCTATAAACTTTTTTTTTTTTGTTTTTTGTGAAGCAAAATTGTTTTAGATAACCAATTTAACAAAATTTTTTATTAGTTTACAGCTTGATTGATAGAACAACTTTTAAGTCATCTAACATCTATTTAACTTCAATTCATTTAAAACCACTACTCTAGAAAAATGGGATTTCTACTATTTTGGCCTAGCCACAAATATTATTTTAAAAGAAGTGCTTTAGCCAAATGGGTTTTCTATACTCCCACAAAAATGGGTTTTCTGTAAACCTATTTTGTGAAGCAAAATTGTTTTAGATAACCAATTTAATCACACCTTATCCATTGATTAAGACGTCTATAAAATGAATTTTTTCCATCCACATCATTTTTAAAAGCAATACTGTTGCATTCCGTGACTCATTATAGCGGAAGATGATTTGCTTGATAAATAAAGCTATTTTCTATACCTTTAAAATACCAATCTTATTATTATTATTTTTTGCTTCTACCAATCTTATTCTTTCAACTTCTCACTAATGTGACCCCTTGCTAGCGTTATTTTGGTATTTTATTCGTCAATTCAGCTGAATATCAAACACCACGACACGTGTATAACATCTGTCCAAATCAACATCGTTGCATCCTTAGACTCCCTGTAGCTGAAGATTATTTGGTTGATAAAAGCTATTTCTCTGTATTTTTAAAATACCATCTTATTCTATCAAGTTTCAACCTCTAATTAATGACCCCTTACTAGCTTTATTTTGGTATCTAGCGATTTCCCAGTGCAAATCATTTTCACAGGGTAAAACAACCTAGGGGTGGTTGAACAGTGTTATAAAATAAATAAATATATATATTTTTAAATGGGCATAATTCTAATGTTATATTTTATATTCATCATATTAAACATAATAAATGTGATAAATTAAATTTTTTATAAATGATAAAAATGGTTAAAAATACAAAAAAATGGAAAAGAAAAAGAAAGAAGAATTAATATTTGACTTGTGACCTAATGATTGAATCAAATAGTTCAACGGTTCAACCATAAGGGTTAAATGGATCAACCCATGATAATTAAGTAATAGATAAATGTCAAACATAATAAAAAATATATAAATTTTATAAAAAAATTAAACATATCTCTAATATTATATATTCATCATATTAAACAAAATAAGTGTGATAAATAAGAATTATTTTTTATTTATGATAAAAATGACTAACGATATAAAAAAAAAAAGAGAACTAATATCTGACCTGTGACCCATTGACTAATCCAAATAGTTCAATCATTTAGAAATTTTAGATAAAGATAGGGAATATCTCTAATATTAAGAAAAACAAATGAAATAAGTAAGAATTTTTTATTAATTATGAAAATGGCTAAAATGCATAAATAGAATTAGTATCTTACCATGACCTGCTGATCAGATAAAACAGTTTTGACAGTTCGGTGGACTGGGTCACCACGATTTTACTAAATCAATGCTGTGGTAAAATGGACTGAAATTCTGGTATGGTGATGGATCAATCAGTTCAACCATGATCTGGAAACACTATTTCATTGCTATTAGGCTTGAAGTTATCACTAATTTCTATTTTGCAACCAAACAATGAAACATGAAATCTTTGCAATCGAATTTTCCTTTCTCGATCCATCCGTTCCCAAAATCTTTTGCAATCCAAATCTATACTATTATGAAGCGAATACTTGTTTTGATTTTAGTGCATGTCATAATAATTAAATTTGATTATATAATGTCAATTAATATTTTTACATCCTGCAATTTAAATGAAAATAGTGTTTCATTACTTAGGCTCATAGAAATTTTTTATACAAGATTATATACTTAGGCTCATAGAAATTAAATTCCACAACGATAAGATTTGGATGCTTGCATAAGTGGTTTGCCCAATTCTGCCTCATTCTAATCAATTTTCTCCAATCGCAACACAACTGAAAATGATTAGATGTGGGTTACTTGGACAGATGAGCCCATCATTAGATTTAAGTTTTTATCAAATAGCATGCATAGATACCATATAAACTATATGTATACATACATGCGTGCATGTGTGACTAATAGTTATATTTGTTTGATCAAAATTCTTCTTATATCATACCTTTCTATTATTATAGTCAATACATACATACATACATACATATATAATATATCTTATAATATAAACAGTCTACATAATATAATATGTTTAAAATTAAAAATCGAGCAGAAGGAATATAGGCTGGGTTCAGGTTTATATTTCAGGCCTAGGATGCTAAGCCTGGCCCGGCCCTGATTACCTTAAGGGCCCAGATTTTCTATGGCCCTAGGCTCCATTCAAATGGACCAGGGACTGTGGGGCTCTATGTTCTGTTTTTAGGGTTTTCTTGGACGATAAGGGCATGGGTGCTATAAGCATGCTTGAACCACTGTTTTCAAAACCAGACCGGACTGGACAGTTGGACCAGAAAAATCGGGAATTGGTCACCTGATCGGTTCCGTTTTCTTCCAAAACCGCTTTTTCCCTCAAAACCGTTGATTTTGGTCAGAAAACTGTTGAACTGGCCGGTTAACTGTTCGAACGATTTTGACTGTTTTGCAATTTTTTAAATTTTTTATTTTTTTGTCAGGATGGGCCGGCCGTTCGAGTTGAACGATCAAACCGTTCGAACCAATAACCGGACCCCTAACCGATTCGGTCACCGGTTCGTTTTTAAAAACCATGGCTTGAACTTAAATTTCAGTCTCCAAGTTCAATCCACGTTACGCTGTCCAACAAAAAATGAGTCAAAAGAGAAGATCTTTTTAATTGAAATCCTTATTTTCTAGATTAGCAATAAAATTAAAATTAGGGCTCCCTTAGATTATTTTTTTCCCTTGATATTTGAGCTATATTTTGATGGTTTCTATGGAAAAAAATTTGTTTTTACATGAACGCAAATTAAAAAGACCGAAAAAACAAAATTTTTCATTAAAGTATCCTTCCCTTCCATCCCTTTCCATATAAGCTCTACATTGCAACCAATGTATTTAGGGGTGCAACTTGGCGGGCCTAACCCGATCCCAGACCGATCCAGTTCAAAACGTTGTATGAATTAGGCTTAGATTTTGATCCTTGGGCTGGGTTCGGGTTTAAGATTTTGGGTTTTTTTATTTTTTAGGATAAGCCTAGCAAATATACATACATACATACATACATACATACATACATACATACATACATACATACATACATACATACATACATACATACATACATACATACATACANACATACATACATACATACATACATACATACATACATACATACATACATACATACATACATACATACATACATACATACATACATACATACATACCCACATATGTATAGATATGTATTTACATATATATATATATATATATATATATATATACATACATATGCAGTTTTAAAGTTGGTTCATTGACAAACCTGAAGCTGACCTATGGCTGAGCCTAACATGCATTGAATTATAGTATGAGTTGGGCTCAAGTTGGGAAGGTCGGGCTTGACCTCAGGCTTGGTCCTTAAGAAATTTTAGGGTTGGGCCTGAATTGACCATAAACCTGGCCTCATCAGCTTGATTTGCACCACTAAATTTTTTGGAACTTTGCAACTGATTCGTTCTTTAATTAATTCAAAAAACCGTCCACATAAGGAGGGTGCTTAGTTTAGACTAAAAGAAGACATTCAGCAATGCTTTTTGGACTGATTTACTTAATGGCTGAAACGTATGAATTGGATGACTTATTGCTGTCTTTTACTAATTAAGTTAATAATTAAGGAGGTTGTGAGCTCCTTAATGGCTGAAACTGAAGTTCGCTTCATATTCCTGAAAATTTGTTATTTAAATAAAGTAATTTATGTTCTAAAAGATAAAGCAATAAGTGATTCAGTTTCAGCCAACTCACCTGTAATTAAACGGCTCCTCACTTGGAGGAGCCAACTTCAGTTTCATACGATTTCAACTTCAGTTTCACCCAACTCCCCTAGTTGAATTCATCTTACAGGCTGGGCCTGACAATCGGGTCGGATTTCATACAAGTTCAACCCGACCCAAGACCACCAACAGAATATTCATTGTTGGGTAATTGGGTTTCTATCTACCTAATCAAAATATAAAAATAAACTTGGATAATTTGATGCTCTTCCAGCTAAACCCACTTTTTATCTGCTGCAAACAAAGAGGACCACAAATAATTTGTTCCATTGCAATGGGCCCTAAGGCCTAAGAAAATCTTAATCAAAGCCCCCATAAAAAGAAAAATAGGACAGCCATAGAAAATCTGCAACTTTGTTCTTTATAAGCAATTGAGTATCTGAACAGCCACTGGCTAATGTAATACATTCAAAGTCAATGTTTTCTGCCCATCTCTGCTCTTTCTTTAAATAAAATCCAAAGCTGGCCACAGCTCAATCAGAAATTCAGAATCAAGACAGCCCACTAACCCCAATCATTCCAAATTGAGATATGGATGATTGGATGGAAGTTGGACGATTCTTGGTCTAACTAACCCTCATCTAACCATCTAAGTATATACTCTTCCTCAAAAGCCATAGCCCACCCCTTATTTTGTTCATTTGTTTTCTATAGAAGAACTAAGGCTTCATTTAAGAACTACAGCTTCTTTCTCCATGATTGATGATTGATGCCCCCTAATCTGTGTTTGGTTTAATAGAAAATAAGAGAGAAACAGAAGAGTTTAGTTTCCCTCAACTTTCTGTTTCTCTCTTGTTTTCTATCAATCAAACCAAACATATATAGGCCTTTTCCATTACCATGAATTGACAGTGATGCAACTTACCAACCCAACTACCCAGAAATAATTTTCATTTTCTTTATGATTATTTAGTTTGTTTATTTCCATTATATATTCATCTCCCACTATAAAACATAAGCGGGAAAGTAGCAAACCAACCAGACATTAATGGAGGAGAAAGCTTTTCTTTCTTAGGAGTCCTTTTCTAGGAGTCTATAAAAAAATTGAACCACCGGCCCAGATAAATAAAAAGATTACCCAAATTAATTAAGAGAAAATGACCCAACTAATGAGGTTGCTCATGTGAAGGATTCATTTTGATCTTGAGCAAATTTGATGGTTTAATTAAAGCAAACCCTCACATGGAGGATAAGTTCTCAAAAGTCTAGCTCAACCACAAAATATATCTACAAGCGAAAAAGATATTTTCTTAAAAAATCCCCCAAAATCAATCTTATTCAATTTTTTTTCTGTTTATAATATATCACAATAGCAGGAGTGAAAGAAATAAAGAGGAAAAGAATTTAATAAGAAACCAATAACAACTACACAACATCTATTCTCTATTACACATCAACCATATTACACATCAGCCTGGTTTCCACCAGCCGGAAGCCGGCTAGGCCGCCTGGAGCGCCGGCGCCGGCGGCTGCCGAACTTCACCCGACCAGTGTCCTTGAACCTCCTTCTCTCCGACGGGGTGATAACACACTCAGGTGGAGGCACGGGGTATCGCAATATATCATAACAGTACGAGTAGTACATATACTTCTGCCTGAACACTCTCATGGCTCTACGTCGCTCCGGTGTGATAACGGCATACTCAGCCCTCTCCAGTTCTGCATCCTCATCCGCACAGATGGTGCTGGAGAACTCCTGGATGGGGTCCGACTGACAACCCTGCAGAACCAGGTCGGAGAAGTCGGAAACAAAGGGAGCGTACTTGTAGTTCACCTTATACTTGCCACCGGCGGTTGCCCAGTTTGAAGCGTCCCATATCGTCGCGTACAATGCCATGGGCTTTGATGGGTAGTCCCCACCCATCGCATCGCTCCTCACAACCTCTCGGATTGGAACCTCGTCAACGTAGAATCTGGGGCCACATACACATTAACAAATCTGGGGCCACGTGGCTAGTTTGAGAGCCAGAGGGAGGGGGGTTGGATTGCTTACATGATGTTCTTGGCGGTCCAGAGGATGCTGTAGCGATGAAACTCACGGGTCGGGTCGAACCAGAGGGTGTATCTCTCTTCACGTCCACGGTTGGTGCTCCCGTTGCCGTAGACGTTGGTCTGGAACCTCCACTCTTTGCCCTGAACGTTTCCCAGGAATTCGAAATCCAGCTCGTCGTGCGTCTTCTCGAACACATCTGCGTTCGATGTCTGCATCATACCACACAACATGCATCAAGAAATCATGGTCCATGGATGATGATGATATAATAAACTGTATAAACTACAAAGGTGACGATGCATTGATGCCACCAGAGTTGAAAACGAAAAAGAAGACTACTTTGTCTACTTGATTCTTGAATCCGTCCGTGATCAGTACACGTGAACTGACCAGGCCCCACAGCTGGTTCTAATCGAACGAACCCGATTCAATCACACGGTGACTGGGGCTGGGGATTCCATTGTTAGTTATTCAGTACAACTAAAATATATCAAAAATTGGAAGCAAACTTCTGAAAAAACAAGAGGAAAAGGTCGCAAGGAAGAAGAGGTCTTACGTAGAAGGCAACGACAACGCCGGCCGTGTAATCGGACGGCAACTTAATCTTAGCACTGAAGAAACCATGGTTGTAGAGGCTCGACGAGATGAACCCAGACCCTGAAACGTTTCAAAAGCAACCGGTAACCGTAACAGTCGATTAACCAGAAAAAATATATTTATTTCTTCTTTGCTCTCTGTTTCTTGCCTTCGTCGACAGTTTTGGTAAGATAAAAAGCAAAAAAAAAAAATCATTCTTCTGATACCTGAGTAGCGGTTGAGGAGGAGACTGACGCTCTTTCCGTCCGATGACCGGAGGATATTGAAATCACCAAAGAGAGGAGTGTAACCTTCGTCAAATCCTATCGTCGTAAGATTAAAACCGGCTGCAGCAGCAACGAAGGAGATACAGAGAAAGAAAGAGATATGCGTCAACGTTCTAGAGAGAGAAGAAGAACGTAGACGATTCATTTCTTCTGTTACCCTGCCTTTTCCTTCTCTCTCTATCCCTTCTCTCTATCTCCGTTTGTTCCTTCTTTCTCTGCAAATATATATACTCGTAAAACCCGTAACGAGAAAAATGGCGCTTTCGATTTCTACACAGCCGAGAACGTAGAAAGACCGAGCGTACTTATTGTTTCTTTTTCTTACAAAAATACCCCTTTATTTGATCGAATGTATACCGCGTCTGTAACATTGAAACTTGAAATGGGATTAGTCAGTGGATTTGGATAAGGGCTTTTCGGTAATTTGATTCTTCGGGGACTTTGTTGCGATTGGGAACCACACCGAGTTCTAGTTTCCGACGATAAGTGGTGGACGTGAATGCCCTCGGTTGCCATTTAGAAGAGTCTCAAGGGTATTTTCGTCAACCCATACATCTCCGGTAGCGAGAGCACAGGGACATTTTCGTAGATATTTCGTGAAATGAGGGGCGTATATGTATCAGTGTAACGGAACAGCAAGAAGAAAGCTTCTTCGCGTTAGTCCCGTAAACCGTGCCCTGTAGTATCGGTGGCGTGAACAGTGCCACGCTGGCGACAACGCCACCTCTTCTGTATCTCTTCAGCTCATCTTTATACAGAAAGGAAGGATCCAGCGTTACCAGATGCACCATAACACTTGGTACACCATACACATCTACACCATAACAACCGTGTTTCGGGAACATTTTCGTGAAAAACAATGTAGAACAACGGCATAAGAAAGAAGAACCGTCGGATGGGAATAGAAGAATTTTGGATAACTCCGTTAGATCGCCGTTAGATAGAAGTAAAACCGTTGTGGCGTTCTGACAAAGAAGTCCCTCTCTAGCTTACGTGCTAAAGAAGCCAGAAGAGGGTTCGATGGGAACATGGCAGACAGCTGGCGTCCTAATAGCGATTTAATTAATAAGATAAATAGTGACTAATTACATTTTATTATAAATCTAACAGAGATTGCGATTTATTAATTAAGAGGGTCGTTACTTGTGAAATTAATGAAAATAGAAGAAAATTGATTAAATTAAATAAATAAATACTTATAAAAATTATAAAATAAAGAGCGTCTCCTTCTATCGCTTTGGTAGGGTCCATGAGTTGGAGATTCCATGACCTTTCGCCGTCTTTGATGACGTGTAGGATTGTTATTGGGTAAGATGGAATAAGCCGATAACACATGTCGCAAAAGTATGAACTATGAAGCGAAGCTGTCAAATAGGAGCGCCCACGTGTCTTCTTGTAGGCCGCGATTGTATGTGTCAAACTTATGACACGTGGCATTTTCAAAAAAGAAAAAAGCTACTAACACGTGGGTAATGGCTAATGGGTGGCGACATCTTTTGTCTTGTAGTGTGGGGCATATAGTCATATGGATAACCTGAAAAAAAAAAGGAACAAGTTTGGTTGGGTGGGGGATAAAGATAGTGAATGTTAAGTCCAATCTAATCCACGTAAGAGCAGCCTTATGGGGCCCATGTGGGTCCCATTCTAAAAAAAGATGTACTGTAGCTGATATCCTTGTCTACGCCCATCTCATGGGCCGGACTCTCTCTCTCTCTCTCTCTCAAAAATGTCAACAGCCAACGGAGTAGGTTTGTTATGCTTCCATAATTCTGATAGACTAGGCTTCTTAGGGGGAAGCCCATTGGACTACGTAAGAAATAGAGTCAATTCAATGGTGCTTTGCTGCCATGTGAAATGGAGTTATTCAATTTTAGTTTCCAATACCATTCCAAGTTCTGACTTTTGAACCATGAATTGAAACAGACAAATGTAAGCGTTTGGGTGACATGAAAAATGGAGCCGTTTGTGAATTGTGATTGTTAAAAGGGAAATAAATTCATATAAAATGCCAGAATGACCTCATTTATGAGAATATGAGATATGGACAACTAGTGCTCTTTATGCAAGGAAGAATCTCAAATAGTCAAATTCACAATACAGTGATTTCATTTCAGGTGGTCTCCAAATACCTAGTTAGTGTTTCAGATTATTTATCACTACTACCCAGGGAAGGCCAGACTCAGACTCTGTGTTTGAATATGTGAGAGCAAATGGGGTTCTTTATATGAATATTTAGTGCTTGTTCTTTGGTTCCCTTCAATACCAGCAAATGAAGGTAGAATTAATTAAGAGATGACTGCAGCAACATCATTCTTGAGAACAAAGTAATTAATATACCGAAAACCAAGGGCCGGATTGAAGGGTTAGTAATCCAGAGGATCTCCCATAAGATGGACGGTCTATCCTAGCAACCCACATGGCAAAATGCATGGATTTTGACACACTGTACCGACTACCGACCTTGGAAGCTGTTTGGTTTTCCTCTTTCAACATTTCGTGGTTGATTTTAAGGGAGTCCTCATTTAGTAACAAGGGAAAGCAAAGTCAAATAAAATGACTTGTGTCTATTACTTCTCAACTGCGTGAAGCCTAATTAATGATGTAAGCAATTCATACCATTTCATGGTTTCTAGATGACTCTCACAACTCTACGGCTCATCTCATTGGCTTGCATGAAACTGGAAATGGAGTTTGGAAATTGGAATGGAACATGAGAGAGAGAGAGAACCAAGCATCCACCTACCGGCTACCGGCTTCAGGAATCAGGGCCCATATATTTGACACATTTTCGCATATACACAAGACTAGTCTAGGACTCACCATTTGATGGGTCCCACTTAAGAGAGTAGCTATTACCAAAAATCAGAATAATGACATACTTTGATTCATGTATTTTGCTCGGAGCCCTTAGGAGTTGCAGGCTCGTTGTAAGTCTCTCAACTCAACCACTTGTTTGTCTGTCTGTCATTAATTTTATGTCGTTCCGGTGCTTTCAGCAGTTTGGTTCACCGTGTAGTTTTCAACTTGTGAAAAAAATTAATGATTGTTAGCTTCTTCTCTTGTCAAGCTGAAGAAAAATGATTCACATGCTCCACAACCAGCTTTTGTATTTGAATGGGTATTCTGTACATCCCGCAAAACAGGATCCTGATTGATGGTTACCAAGTCCTAACCACTTCGGATTAAAGCACTTTTCCTTTTCCTTTTCCTTTTTCTTCGTGTAGAAACAAGCTCAGCCATGCCCATACAGACCCATTAATAAACCCATGACAAGAGAAAAGTAATCTTGATAACAATGGGTCAAGTTGGTTCACAATTAGGATATCTTTGACCACCAGAGTTCCCTGTGCAATACTTCCTGTGGCTTTGCTTCATTCATCCGTGCAAATACCAGCCAACTCTGGTTCATCAAACATTCAACTACTATTCATTCTTATTAACTTTTGTGTTTATTGGTACCAAAATTGCTGATTCCTAAAAGGATACTTTGATCAAGTTCATAGTTCATACCAAATTGAGTTTATTGGTATCAATAGGTATGATACTCGTACATTTCATACTTCAATATAGAACCAAAAGAAAAAGAGATCTCACCATCATATCTACTGATTTACATTTCTGAATCCTAAAAGCCACTTTGTTTCTAATTATATACACAAATATTTATTACTCAAAGTATCGATAAGATATGAGTTTCGGCCGTATCGTATCGGCACTTAGAAACGACCGAAACTCTATTTTTTTTAGTTTTTTTTTTTAAATTTGGATTTTTTGAGAAGCTTTTAGCATGTTTTTTATTATTAAAAAAAATTAGGGATCCAAAACACCTGGAAATAGGCGTTTCAGACCGTATCGTTTTCAAAAGATACGATATGATACGCTTGATACAGAGAGTATCAAACCACGTCTGCACCCTATAAAAATGACCCAAATGCAACTGCCCCCAAGACTACCAATAGCATTGTCATTCCCAAAAAGGTAAGCCCAATAGCTTCATCATTAGATGTATCAAATGAATCATCCTCTGCAATTCTGATGTAGCCTATCAAACAAGGCCAGTGTCTACTTTTCTTTCAAAGGCAGCTTCTTTCGTCCTCATGGTTGCATATCTCTGCAGTGTCACTGCATCCAAATACATGACACAGGACCTCAATTTATAGGACTTTGTTTCATCACCAGAACCCAATATGCCTCCACCAGTCACCATCATCAGGTGGTATATGAACCAAGGAATCTGAAACCCCAAGCTGGTTTTCAGGTGCCAGATTGTTCACAATTACCTGGTCTTTGATGAATTCATCAGGAAGAGATTTCATGGTTCTCTCAACTCTTTCGAGAAAATACCACAGTATAGAAGCCGCATAGAGCTTCCAAGCTTAACCTTGCTAGTATATATAGACTATAATATCAAGAGGCTTAAGGGGAGTGGATAGATTCCAGTTTCTATTATTGGTTTGGCCACATATCCACTCTGCCAGTAGGATCTGAGGGCACTGATATTAGTGGTATCATCGAAATGGTGTTTTCCATAAACTTTTGTACAATCAAACAGTAGATTATCTCCTCAAATTCTTTCTTTCTTTCTCTCTGACTTCAGCTCTTCTCCTGCAAATATGAATGTTAGTAAAAAGGAATCATCTAGCAAGTAGCAACTGATGGGGTAAATATTGTGCAGCAGTATAACTGCACCACCTCCACCATTATTGATTAGCAAAAAATGAAAAAAAAAAAAAAAAAAGATAACCCACGCCACAATTGGTTTTTCTGTCCGTGCACTAACATGAAGATTTTTCTTCTTTCTTTTTATCCATATGCAAAGTTTTGGGTTAAGTTTGTACTTTTGTGGCCAATAGCAATTCTTCAGAAATTTAAGGACATTGTTTTCTGGATACATCAGGATGCACTGTTAGGATTAATTCATGGTTCAGTACCATTTACAGTGGGACACCATGAGACCTTCTAGTGTACAGCCAATCAACCCAAGTTATTTTTCACTAATATTCATGTTTTTTCCATCTATCACTGGTTGGAATAGTTCGTCAAATATATAAGAAGAGTGGTGATTTATGGTTTTATGCCATCCGCATATGATGTAAAGTTCACCAGATAGACTGGAAATGAGAAAAAAAATCCAAAACAAGGGATGCCAAAGATTGTAAGCCAGATGAAGATAGAATTCTTCTAAAGGCTGGTAAGAAAAAAAGCATAGAAATAGTCTCTCAGTTAAGAAAAAGAAAGAAATAG